GTAAGCGGAGTCCTTGTGAGGGAAGAGGGAAGGAGGCAACATCCCATCTACTACGTGAGCAAGTCCCTACTGGATGCACAGACTCGCTACAGCCAACTCGAAAATCTAGCACTAGACTAGTAATAGCGGCCCGAAAACTCCGGCCTTATTTCCAGGCCCATCAGGTCATGGTAATCACATCGTTCCCCATAAAAGCTGTTCTCCATAAGCCTGAAGTGTTAGGACGCCTCGCAAAATGGGCAATCGAGCTTGGAGAATACGACATAGTCTTCCAACCCGCTACGGCCATCAAATCAGAGGTCCTCGCTGAATTCTCCCCTTCTATTCTTTCGGTTGTGGTGCCATAGACTGATTTCCAGGACGCAGCAGCAAGAGCAGGAGAATGGACCCTGTACGTCGACGGTTCCAGCAACGTAAGAGGGGCAGGAGTAGACCTAGTCTTGACCTCCCCCACTGGCGAATCAGCATCGAGGGCGATGCGATGTAACTTCAAAGCTACAAATAACGAAGCCGAGTACGAGGCCCTGATAGCAGGCCTATCACTCGCCAAACAGATGGGAGCAAAGGAGATCCAGGTCTTCAGCGACTCCCAACTGATCATCAGCTAGGTCCAAGGTGATTATCAGGCCAAGGACGCCAGTATGATCAGATACCTTGCTGTTGCAAAGCGCCTGGTCAAAAGATTTCAGAGCTGTAAGCTTACCCAAGTTCCCAGAGAACAAAACTCGCAGGCCGACGTCCTCTAATCTAGGGTCTACCTTAGAAACCACTAACCAGATGAGCATTCCCCTGCTGGTACTCCAGTGGCCGGCGACGAAAAGAGAGGGGGATCCCGAGGAAATCGCCGTCATCGACGAAGGAGAAACCTGGATGACCCCCATAATTGACTACCTTGCACGCGACCTCCTCCCCGAGGACTGAGGCGAAAGTGGAAAGATAAAGAGACAAGCAGCAAGATACTGCATCACCGAAGGGAAATTGTACAGAAGGTCCTTCTCAGGACCATACTTGCGATGTCTCAACCCTAGAGAAGCGGCCCGAATTTTAGAAGAGCTCCATGAAGGAGAATGCGGCTCTCACTCCAGCGGACGAAGCCTAGTGCTCAGAGCCAGAAGAGCCGGCTATTACTGGCCCACAATGGCCATTGACGCCCTCAGACAAGCCAGATCCTACGACCAGTGCCAAAGGCACTGTGGGAACCGAAATACACCTACTGTCAAATAATCGTAAAAAAGAAAACTTCAGGAAAACCCTAAGTTTCCAGAGGAACCGGCTATCTGCAGAACCGCACAACGAAGATTAAGATAACAAAAAACTTAGAAACTTTAAATGAATAAACGAAAATCGAGAGCAAAGAGGTTCTTATTCCGAATCTGCGTAGAACTGGTACAAAGAGAGTAGCCAAAAACTTAAGAACGAAGAACCCTAACTGAGACGCAGCTCGCTAACAGAAAACCGAAATATTCCTAAATGCTAATTTTGGTGGTGAGAGCTCTGAAAAATCGTGTCCCTTGCTTCTGCCCTAGACCTCTTATTTATATACTCCTCGCCTTGGCCATTCGGTCTTTCCATTTGACCCCTATTTGACTATATCGGGAATTTTCCATTTTTCTCGATCCTTCCTTTTCTTCCGCGGAAATCTTCTATTTTTCTTTAAACCTTCCTTTTATTTTTAAACTTGACATTTATTTTCCTCTTGCGAGTAAACCGTCAAAATGTTATCGTATCTTTGGGTTAGATTCCGTTAAGATCGCGAGATGGGTTTTTATCGCGTTTTAGGACCTTCCGGGCCGTTTTGTGATAAATCCGTTTTCCGACTTTGTACGGAATCGTTTCCTGATCTGATGCCGTTTTTAGTAAATTCCTCGAGCTAATCGTAAGGTTTTACGATTTACTCGACGTTTTTATTAAAAACGCGTTTCTTACGATTTACTCGATGTTTTAATTAAAAACGCGTTTTTTTTACGATTTTAACGAGAAACCTCGAATAAATCGTATAGTTTAGGCAATGTTCGGTGTTTCGTTTAACCGTTGTCGTTTTATACGATTTCCTCGAGTTCTTTGTCGAGAAAGCGAAGTTTTACGGTTTTTATCGTAAAACTCGAACAATAGGTCGGATCGAGATGGAACGGGAGACGTTTCGGCCGTGGTTCAGAATGTGACCGTGTCGAAAGACGTAAGTTTCGAATCGGGGATGCGGGAGATCGAGTCTTGGGACGTCCAGGAAGTCTCTAGTTTGTCCAACGGCGAACTAAGCCGGCTGACTTCTCGAGTTTTATAAAACGGTCTGTGAGTTTTATAAATGACTTCGAGTTTTATAAAACGACTTCTTGGGTTTTATAAAAATATTCCTTTTGTATTTTTGGGGGGAGTTTTGGCAATTGATTCCGTCGTACCTATTTTGACCCCAACAGGCACGCCAATTTCCAACCTCCCTCCAGAGAACCTAAAGTCTCTAAGCTCCCCTTGGCCCTTCCGAAAATGGGTTATGGATATCGTTAGGAAATTCCCAATGCCATCGGGGCAAAAATTATTCCTCCTCGTGATAACCGCCTACTTTACAAAGTGGGTGGAGGCTGAAGCCTTAGCTACGATTACTACAGAGAGAATAAAGAAGTTCATGTGGAAAAACGAGATAAGCCGCTTGGCACGCCCAGGAGATTGTGACAGACAACAGTCCCAGTTCACGAGCCACGACTTCAGAGAATTCTGCCAAGAGTGGAACATAAAGCTCTCCTTCTCCGCACTCCGGCACCCACAATCAAACGGCCAGGCCGAATCTACAAACAAAACCGTGGTAAACATGATCAAGAAGCTCCTGGAGAAAGCCCACGGGCGCTGGGTGGAAGAACTACACGGAGTCCTCTGGGCTCATCGGAATACTCCGAAAACAGCCACACAAGAGACTTCATTCTCACTGGTCTACAGCATGGAATCCATGATACCTACAGAGGTACACGTCAGGACGACTGTCTCCGGACCCATCTCCCAGGAGGAAAACAATGAAATGTTGACCCTAATCCTAGATCTACTCGACGAAAAAAGAGAGTCTGCTTGCCTAAGGAACATTTCCTATCAACAAAAAGTGGCCAGGAGCTACAACAAGAAAGTCAGGACCAGAACCTTCCAGCAATGAGGCTGGGTCCTGCGGCGAGTCTACTACCATACTAAAGATAAATCTGCAGGGAAGCTGGCCCCGGGATGGGAAGGCCCCTACAAAATAATTGGAGTGCATGGGGCAGGAGCCTACATGCTGCAAGACAGCAAAGGAAAGGTCCAACCTAACCGCTGGAACGCCTTGCACCTCAAGCTCTACCATTTCTAATAAGATCTCCGGATCGGGTTTTCGACATATACCTATCTATCTACATATTTTAAGTACACTGGTTTACTACTTCTATGTCTTCTAAAACACTTCTCTGGACTAAGCTTATATAATATATTTTAGTTCCGACTAAAGGAGTCACAAGAATTCCATTGAACTTAAAAGGGGCATACTAGCTGGATCAGGCCCCAAGGGGCGCCTCGATCCTGGGAAACCTTACATCTACATGACATGACTCACATATAAAAACACTTGGGTATACGAATTGGAACATGCCTGATCAACCTTAATAAAATGTCGAAAATACCTCAGCCCCTGCGTAGAGGCCTTGAGCCGTAAGCCTACGCGGGGGCCACATGTACTAATGCATCAATATCTGCATCAAACACGCCCTGGGCTAAACAAGATGTAGGGGGCATGACGTATAACTGCAGAGTACTGAGATCAGCCCCATGATTTTAGGGAGCAGATGGTGCATAAAACCCCGGGAGCACTTCTTTCCTACTTATCCAGACGAGGAAAGTAGCAAGTCTGGTACGTGGCTCACTACTTCCCAGTAGACCCACCCCACCACAAACACATAAGATTGAGAGTGGATTTCTGCAGAAAGCAGAGTGCAGCCTTACAGGATCTCGATAGTGGCCTACTTCTGAGTGGCAGAGTGCGAATCCTCACCCGAGATCGGTAGTGGCCTACCTAAGGGGGGCAGAATACGATCCTGATGACAACGATCCTCCGAGTTCCAAATGTTCAAAATTCCGAATTTTACATTTTTTATATACCTAATTACGCGAGATCGGTAGTGGCCTACCTAAGGGGGGGGGGGCAGAATACGATCTCGAAGACAATAACCTCGGGGTCCTAGATGTTCAAAATCTCGAATTTTACATCTTTTATCTACTCACCTCCGGGTCCAGGTCAAGAACCTTAGACTCTACTCAGTAACCTCAGGGTTCTGAACAAGTTTCCATGTAGTACAGGAATTACCCCATGGTCCCAAGCAATTGATTTGGAGAACGAAGGGCCTAGTCAAAGATCTCAAGATCTAAGCAGGGTTCTAGGAATCCTCCAAGACCCCCAGGTCCTAAGCGTTGAAAACTACGAGTTTTACATTCCGTTCCTATCATGCTAGCCAAATCAGCAGGGTTCTAACCCTCAAGCGAACATATGCATAAAAAGAAACTTTATTGCTAAAACGTGAAGTGCACAAAAGCAACATAGCTCAGGGCTCGAAGAAGTTCAAACAATGAAGCAAAGACAACTGCGTTAAAGACAAAAATCTCATGGTCCGCCAGAGCCAGAAGACGGAGGGATGGCTGGTTTGTCTGTGAAAGAGGAAGGATCCACGCCTTTGAACTTTGCCTCGGCAAGAACCACGGCCTTGTACTGATCGAACTCCTCGGCCAAGTCCCAGCTGTGGGCCTACCCATCGAGCCGATCTCGCATTACCTCCCAGCGAGAGGTGATTTTCGGCCCGTTCACAGCCATCACCTTCACGTCCTCCGAGATATTCGCCTCAGCTCTTAGTTTCTCCAAAGCCTCTTCCAGTTCCTGGTTCTTACGACAAAGCGCTAGAGCCTCCTATGAGGAAGTTTCAACCGTGTCTTCAATCGTCTTGATCTTGGCCTGTAGATCATGCAGTTCCATCCCCTGGGACACCCTCTTGCTTTTCTCCTCAGATAACTGACGGTACAGCTCCTTGGCTTCCTACTTGACTGAGGCCATATCCTCCTCCGACAACCGAGCTCCCAAATGATGCAAAAGAGAGAGGACCTGCGCAAAATATCACCCAGTAAGACTCACGATAACGAGGCTGAAACAGGAGCAAGAACCTCGCTCTTACCTGAAGGAGTCTTCCTTAAAGCGCCAAGATCACCTCTGCTGGACCTTCGCCCAAAAGAGGGACATTATCTTGCGAGAACACCCTAACGTTCAGGTCCCCGAGAACATCGGACAAACCCCCAGTCGCGTGTTCAGTATCAAAATCCTGTGGAAACAGCCGAGCGATCATCATCTTGCGACTACTTCCAATTATCATAACCTCATCCCCTGAAACGGTAGGGGCGACGGTACCCTTCCTCGCTGTGGGAACCGAAATTACACCGTCGATTTTCGTAAAATAAGGAAATTTAGGAAAACCCTAATTTTCCAGAGGACCCGGATCTCTGCGAGAGCCAACTACAAGTAACCAAATAAATGCGGAAAATATGAAAAACATGATTAAACGATTTTAAAAAGAAAGTTGATCTTATTTTGAATTCGCGTAAGCGCGTTGCGATCTTTACAAGAGATTACAAAGGCTTTGGCCACAGGGGCTATCATCGAGTTATCAACATAAAACCCTAAACCTAGTCGAGTCACAGCTCGATAACAAAAGACGAAAAAATATAAGAAAAAGAGAGTTCGATTGATTTCGGACTGAACCTTATGAAAGGCTGCCTATGTACCCCTTTCGAGGATCAAGTCGAACGTAGTTCAACTGGTAGAGCTGAACGAGATATTGAACTGCCTAGGCGAGTTCGTCTAGTGATTGATTGCCAGTCATAGAAACCGAACTTGTCGAGAAATAAGCCTAAGTTTCTAAGTGCAGAGAGTTCTGAGTCTAAAAGAGTTGCGAAAATTGTCCTCTTCTTCTTTCCTTGGCCTTCTGCTTATATACTCCCTCCTTAGGCGGCTTAGTCCTTCCTTATCACCCAGTTTCGAGTTTATCGGGAATCTTTTATTTATCTCGATCTTTCCATTTTCTTGCGGAAATATCCTATTTATCTTCAAACTTGACATTTATCTTCAAACTTGACATCTATCTTCTTTCTACGAGTAAATCGTCAAACCGTCATAGTATCTTTAGGCTGGACTCCATTTAAATTCGCGAGTGGGATTTTATCGCATTTTAGGACTTTCCGGTCCGTTTTGCGATAAAAACCATTTTACAATTTTAGACGAGATCGTTTCGTGATACGATGGCATTTTCATAAGATTTCTCGAGTTAATCGTATTGTTTTCCAATGTACCATGTTCCGTCTAATCGTTGCCGTTTTATACGATATTCCCAATTCTTACGAGAAAAGAAGACTTTTACGATTTTTATCGTAAAACTCGAATGGTAAAACGGATCGAGATGAAACGGGAGAGGTTTCGAACATGGTTCAGAGCACGATCAAACCGAAGGACGTATGCCTTACGTCAAGGATGCGGGGGATCAAGCCTCATGACAGTCAGCTCGACGTACGACGAGTCGAACCGGGTTGGTTCAGCTCACCATACGGCGAGCTGCTTTGAGGCGACCAGCTCGCCGTACGGCGAGCTGGTTCGTCACCACCAGATCGCCGTACGGCGAGCTGGTCCGGGATGAACCAGTTCGCTGTATGGCGAGCTGAACCGGCTGGTTCGGCTCGTCGTATGTTGAACTGGTTCGGTCAAACCTGCTCGCGATTTACGGCGGATGCGGTTTTTTGAGGTTTTTCGCTTAACTTGGGCAATCGTGTAATCGGCGATTGTTTCGTTCATTTTTCTGAGATGAAGATTTCCAGGTTTTCCGCGGATTTCCTTTGTTCGGAAAGTCCTTAGAATTTTATAAAACAACTTCTCGTGTTTCATAAAACGTATTTTTATTTTTGCGGAGACTTTTAGCCATTGATTCCGTTGTGACCGATTTTGACACCAACAGTTAGCCCCCCAGCTCGCTGAAACCTTGAGCCTCTAGCGTGAGGTTCTTGTGAGTGGTTAGCCAATTTTAGGTAAGTTAGGCGGAATTAATGGTTGGAAAGGTCCGTTGAAAGTGATCTTTCCACTCTCCAGGGAGCGGAAAGAGTTTAAGATTACTGATTCGCCTTGTGAAGGCTGCCTACGTACCGTATTGATAGGATCAAGCCTTTGTAGTTTGTTTTGGAGTTAAGGTTCGTATGACTTGTTTCCTAGTGAGACCTTTACAGTCTAGTTATTTGTATAGGACCTTGGTCGGTCTTGAGACTAGCTTAGTTTGTTGTTTGCTCTTTCCAAGTGTGGCCGTTATAGTTTTCGGACTGGCCGTGTGTGGCTCTGAATCCCTGCCGCTTCGCGGCTTTCTTATAAATCAGTTTGCATTTTTAAGAGCGTGTTTTTATTTGTATGAATGTAGAGGGAAGAATATGGTTTGTCGTCTCATAGTCTAACTCTTTTTGTAGATCGCCCTATTCGTTTGCTCGTTCTGGAATTTTACGAGATTTAGTGAGAATTTAGATTTGAACGAAGAGACATGCCTTTAGGATCTCGAATCATGTCTTGAGACGTTAGAGACCAGTGTGATGGGTTTAAAGCAAGACCTAGGTTTACTTTTGGATTGAGGCTATGCGATGACTAGTCGGCTTTCGTCTTGCCTGTTGCGAATTTAACTTGAGTCCATACCGATTTAGAGTCCGCGAAAGGTTCTCGGCTTATACAACTCGTCTGGTTGGAATCGAGCATCTCATCGGGGACAATTTTCAAGCCTCCCAGAAGTGCTGACCATAATTTTGGATTTCTTTTATAGTGCTATTACCCTTGTGTCGGGTGTATGAGAGCTATCTCTGCGAGATAACTTAAGTTTGTTTAGGACTATTGCGAGTTTGTTGTGATCACCAACAAACTTGGTGGTAGATGATACTTTTGTTTGGACCGTCGCGAAGGATACCTATCTTAAGAAGTTTTGTATGTTTTATAGTCGCGGATGGACTGTAGGGTCTTTCAAGAAAGTGATTTTATCGAGGAAGGTATTTGTGTCGAAAAACTGTTCTTCAGGCGTCTGCGACGTCTCACAATGCCGAAGATTGTTTTTTATTTCGTATACCGTGTTTTGTGTTCGAAACATTTTCGGGATCGAAGATATAGCGCGGTGTTGCAAGGGTTTTGTCTTAACTCTGCTTTGCAGAAATACTTTGGTTTGTTTGCGGACATTCGCAGCCAAAACTTACGTTCGTGCTTGGATGTTAAGTAGTTAGATTCGTGCTAGGGCAATTAGGACCGAGGGATCGCGTAAGTTTGCTCCTGAAACGAAGCAACTTTAATTACAATGCTTTGTGAAGTGTTGACCTTCCGAGACTCGTACGGCTTCAGGAGCTCTGTTACAATTTTTTTTCTTACACGTCGGATTTTGTAGGCAACTTGCTTCAGAAATAGAGTGAATCGCGAGAATACAGAACTTAACCGATTTTCGACAAGTTTGCGTTATCCGTTGAATGTATTGGCTTGGCATGAAGGTTGTATTCAGCCGCATAGCCAAGGACGTATTTGGTAGAGAATTAGACCACAGCACTTTCGCGCTATCAATAAGGTCGAGTGAGTTTGTAAACTTAGACTCGGCATTGAAAAGAAGCGTGATCGGATAAGGGCCAAGTAGCGTTTGTCGAGATTGATATGCCAAGTATGCATGTGGTCGTGGAAAACGTTTTTTTTTTCCATTCTAGGTTCGATTTATACGATGAGAGTTTCATATATTCTTTCCTTTGTTTGTATGAAAGTTTTTTCTTTTTTTTTTTTTACCCGAGGGAGACCGAGCCTAAGAAGCTCGATGCAGAACCCGTGCGGAGTCAGTTGCGGGGTGGTTTCATTCTGGAATGTAATCTAGAAGAATGAGAGCGGATGCTCGTGAACCGTAGGGCTAAAGTTTTAGATCGTGGTGCGAGGAAAGAAAGTTTTAGATTGGTCGTCCAGTGTCGGATCGTATAGCTTGGTCCTTGCTTTAAGGAAATTACTTTCTCGTAAAATTGTTTTCGTTTACTTTCGAAAGTTACGTTGTTATGACATGATCTTGACTATACGAAGGATTTTTTGCACAAGTAACAGGCGATGAATTTAGTAAACCGACATGACGATGAAACTAACAAGAATATAGTCTTTGACTTATTTCCGTATGAATCAGTCTTCGAAGAAATACCAACAATAATATCGGAGTGGGGAAGGGAGTTCAACATCGGAATTTATGTTCTTGTTTCTTCATACTGCCGGTTTTAATTAACTGACTAGGTGTGCTTCGTATATTGTTGAAAAATCCATCACACGTTTATGATTAGATGTTTTCGACTTAATGTGGCAGAATTTTGTAAAGCTGGATTGCGTTTAGAGAGTTCATATCTCTCATATAGTTTAGGAAACTTTTGGTGTTAAGTCGACCGTTGCCGTTTTAGACGATTGATTCGAACTTATACAAAAAAACAAGTCTTTGCGGTTTCTATCGTAAAATCTCAATGGAAACCCCGATTGAGATGAAACGAAAATCAGCGTGATCGAGACTCAAGAGAGAAGCTCTAGGAGTAGTTCAGCACGCCATAGGGCGAGCTGAGTGAGCCCTCTCAGCTCGCCACACGGCGAGCTAGTGCGGACAGTCTCGATTCGTCGAATTGACTTGTTTTCGTCATAAAATCTCAACAGAAAGTCCGAGTGAGACGAAAAAAAAACTGTACGATCAAGACTAGAGAAAGAAGCTCGAGGAGTGATTTGAGTGAACCAGCTCAACGTACGGCGAGATGATTTAAGTGAACCAGCTCGCCGTACGGTGACCTGATTTGAGTGAAACCCTCAGCTCGCCACATGGCGAGCTAATGCGGACAGTCTCGTTCGTCGAGTTGACTTGTTTTCATCGTAAAATCTCAACGGAAAGTCCGATTGAGACGAAACGAAAAAACGTTTATCGTTGCCCTTTTGTTTGGACGGAGAAATCCCGAGCTCGTTTCGTTCTTCTTCCGGAAGTGTCATGATTGGGTTTTCGATTTTGTTAGGTACTACAGCGCTTGCGTAAGCGTTGGCTATAGGAGTAGTCGCTGCTGAAGTTGCTTTACCAGCGTATTTGTGAGTTGCGACTTTGCCTTTCATATATCCAGACATCGTTTTGATCAAGCGTTTTGCGGCTATGAGTAACAGTAATCTGACCCCCCTCCTTCTAGCGCAAAACTTTGGGAACCGGAATTCACACCGTCGATTTCCGTAAAATAAGGAAACTTAAGAAAACCCTAATTTTCTAGAGGACCCAGATCTCTGCGAGAGCCAACGACAAGTAACCAAATAAATGCGGAAAATATGAAAAAC